CACGTCCACCAACCGTCTCCCGCGGCGGCACACGGCCTCGTCGTCCGCGACGGTCGGCGTCGGCGGCGACGGCGCTCCCACCGGCCGCCGCCGTACCACCGCCGCCGCGGCGCTGTTTTTACAATCGTCCGCCGTATCTGTCGGAGCCTGCAGAGCCGGGGCCGCGCTGGTGCGCCATATCTCGCCGCAGCCGCGCCACCAGCGCCGTCGGGCGCCGTATGGAGGCCGAATCGGCCGTACTCGGCGGCCAAGTTGCGCAGTCTTTCTGACAAATGGATATTTTATCATTGGGAGGAGAAATAAAGCCAGAGCGCAGAGGGAGGCGGGCGCTGCGGTGACGGACGAGAGTAGTATGCGGCTTCCGTAGACGGCCGGCAGACAGGCTTGTTGCTGGGCGCACAGCAAAGTTACGGGACGATGCAGCTGCGATATGCAGCTGAAGGCGGCAGGGCAAGGGATGTAGCGAATTGAAAATACAGAGAGCATGTATGCACCGTTCGGATGGCGGTAGTGTTCCGTACAAGGTGCGTTTTGCGGTGTGCATTGTTGAATACCGAAGGCTTTGCTCTATTGTGGACTGAGAACATACATAGATGTGATGACCAGGCTTGATAGGGAAAGGGCAACGTAATAAGCAATGAGATAGATAGGTAAGCCGAAATTACTGAGATTCCGACGCCATTAATCACCTAAATTTCACATTGTCCATACAAGCAGATGTATCATAAATCCATTTTAATCGTTGAAGCAGTTAACCTCAGGGGGTCTTTCGTCACTTTTTTGCAACACACCGCGGTATTTACCACATACATACCTAAACCAGCCTGTTTTTACCTTACGACGTTCCCCAACTCCCTCACCAGACGTGCGGTCTCAGCCGCTGCCTGAGGTCTGGGTTGGATCACTACGGTGTTTCTTCCGACGTTAATTTCATTGCCGACACCGGGCAGTATCCGTCAGGTCTGCGGAACACCCCTGCTTTGACGGCTTCCAGCTGGAGTAACGCACAGACCATCAGTAGCAGGCCATACCGAAGCGGATCGGTCTGGTCAGACCAACCAACCGGTGCGAGGAGCAGTATGAGCTGTGCTTTCTCTGAAGCGTTACGTGTGGTCGCATTTCGCTGACGCTCATCCACGCTTAGCGACCTCAAGGACACTTGTCGGAGACACGGTCCTGACGATCCGAGGTCTCCGAATTCCAGTACCGGGGAAGTCCAGATCGAGCGGCGCCTCTGCTGCGGTCCGAGCCGCGCGGTAGAACTGAATGTCATGTGGACTCAGCAGTTGGTGTGGCCCCGGAGACGCTCTATTGGCTCCGATCGGCCACTCGACCACCGCCGCTCCAGGTGGAAAGTTCCATCGTCTCCGAGAGGCACGGGCGAATCCACAGCATTCCACCTCTGTGGAATTCTCTACCGGGTAATATCGACTTTCCCGTTTGCACACGAGTCCACCTTCGGCCACACGCGCAGCGGTGGATTCCTGCTAATGAATTTGTGCATGTTCCAGGCATCGTTCAGGGTTCGAGTTTTGGACCACATGCTTTGACAGCATCAGTGCTAGGTACGGTTTGTTGAATCGATGCCAGACCGGATTGAGTCGCGGCGAACAAACTCAATATGTGGACGTCCCATATGTCAACTTGCCTTATTGGACGCGACTTGCAATGAAGTTAGGAAAGCAATGTAAAGTTGGATGAGCATATACAATGGTATGCCTATCGACAAAGCTGCAATAATGTGCAAAAGTCGTGCAGAGAACACTTAACGAACCGCTGTGAAGCAAGTTTTAAAGTATAGTCGTTATAATGATTTACTAATAACTAATGACAACTTACCACAGTTATTATAAAATAAAACTATTACTGCGAACCGTCAAACATTGATACCCGACGGTATAAGTTTTTATTTTTTCTTCAGCACACTCAAGTAAGAGACTTTTTAAGTCTGTCCAGAAAGATTCATTGAAAAAAAGCAAAGAAGTACCTGCCTGCTCTCTATACTACATACACAAATCTCCCTTTTATCGAAACGGTCACTTCTAAGCCTGTGCTCCTGAACCGCGCCCCGGGATCCCGTTTCCGAGCCAACCGTTATACCTTATCCTCGGCTCTATTTTCTCCGCGGCGTTGTCGCTATCCCCCTCCAAACGCAGTGACCCACCGGCCGTCCCTACGACCCTTCCGTCCGCCCCGCCAACAATGGGTAACCGACCGGGCCGCTGTCGAGACCGCTTTTATACGCGCAGCCGGCCCGGCCCCTGGCCGCGAATGGCATTGTTTTGGTATCGCGCTGTCCCGGACGCATCATTTAGCCTTACGAGCCTCCGACACTGATAGCATCTCTGGAGACGCTTTAGGGCCGGCCGGGCCGGTCAGGCGAGAGGGCCTCTGGCAGGCGACCTCCCAACCCTCCCCGCACAGGAGGATGGGTGGGGTGGAGGTGGGGTAGGACGTGATGCTCGTACGTACAGCTCAGCGTAAAGTTTATGTGGGCTGATGAGTTGCTGATGCACTTCGAACTGAAAAGAGCCGGCAATATCCAAATCTTTTGTAATTGGGGCAAGTCCGAGAATCTTAAGACGAGCTTTTGCATTATTTTCTTATTCCAGCAATATATAAAAGAGCGTTGCAATCAGCTGATCACAGAATTCGCTCTAATATTTTCCCGAGTGAACGGGTTGCAAGGAAGGCGAGGATACTCACAAGTCCGCTAGTGTATGCAGGATAAGTCGCCTTACATACAATACAGCTACGTTCGTGCGAGAGTGGGAAGGACGTCGAGTGGTAGTTAGCGGACCAGGGTGCGCCTAATCGGCCGCGGTTCTCAGATCCTGCTCGCATTATCTGCAGAGCGCACCATGCGGTAAACACGGCGCCGTGACCAGCGCAGTCACCGTGGGACGCACAGTGCGCCAGCTGGGCGCACAGTGCAATGTGCGTGACCTGGAGCGGCCAGGGCGAGGTAGGCAGGCAGCCCCTCGATCCCGTGAGGGGAGAGCTGAGGGGAGCTCACTCAAATACCGCTGGTCCACGCTGACCAGACTGCGGAGTAGCCCGGCGTTCCGAGACTGAGTCGGCATACGGAGATGTTGCAAGTCAGTCGACGGAATGAGCACTGAGCAGCGGCGTTCAGAAGAAGTGCAGGCTGTTTGGCGGAGGACGCCCGGCCGCAGGTAACGTGATGCGCATGTCTGCCGACCGCGCGGTCCGTCCTCGGAGGTCAGCCAAGGTCACCGAGGTATCGGCGGGCCTGGGAGTCGGCCGCAGCCCCCAGAGTCATGATTGGCCGCTTTGTCCTGACATGTGGTAGAGCTTCATGGCGAATGCCACCCCTGGGTGGGCGGCCGGTCCGAATCCGCCCATTGTTCGTCGGGCATCGGCTGATCCCGTCGGTGTGCTTAAGGCCGCCCGGACTCGGCGCCCGGGGAAATTGCACCGTTTCGCACTAAACGCCCGATTCGGGTGGCTCGTTACACAGCGCTCTAAAGAGCCATCTCGGCCATAATATATGAAGATTACGCGCTGCGGGTTCATTCTCACATAAGCTCTTTGAAATTAGCTGACGCTTCTGTCGACTGTGGGTCCGGCCGGGTTGAAAGGGAACACGAAAGAACACTGCGGAACACGAAACGACATTTGAGATCTCACACGAGTTGTGTGAGACATATTAAAATGCTTTGAGTACGACTAATAACCAGAAACCTGCGAAGGACACAACCAAAAGTGACAAGATACAGTCTAAACACAACTCACAATTCAGCCATCCGGACACCCAGAGCCTCACATTGTCCTCAGCTCAGCTCGTGATCAAACCTCCCGAATCCTGCGCGCAGCACGTGTGAGCTGTCCCCGTCATCCTCCGAAGTCCGATCGTGCCAAGTCCCTCGCTCCGTGCTCGGCCGGTTCGTGCGGGCGTGCAGACCGTAAAAACACGGCCATTAGTCTTGTCTGCGATTGCCGACGGCCGAGCCGAATGATTCGTAATGCGTCCGACGAAAACGACGAGATTTCTTACAGTAGTGGGGTATATCGACGGAGGCTTTCCTTCCTGCGAGTCCATTGGGGCAGGCTGGCTTCTTTGACCGAGTGCATCCACACACCTTCGTTTTTATTGTCGTTTACATAGGTAGTTCATTATCCATAGGCCATAGCTCCGACCCAGCTGTCATTGCTGCCGGTTTTCTGCTTGCTTTGGGCCCCGCTGCAACCACAGACATTGTTTTCTGGTTTGCAATGTAAGGGCGTTGTCCAGCGGTGCCATGGAGCGGTCGTGAGCCATGTTGTCCTTGGTGGAGGCGAGGTAACAGAGAATGACTGCAGACTACGGTGACTGGATGTTTGCAGACACGGCCCCCGTCACGACTCTGTTCGCCTTTCAACGGCGCGGCCTCTATGCATGGCGTACTGATGTGTCGTGAATGGAGGAGAAAAAATACTCAGGCTAAGAGCGTTGAGGATTTATGTTTTGAATTGATGAGGATTGATGAGGATTAATGTGCCAGAATGACGGAGCAACGATGTCTCGATGAGTGCAGAAAAAATGCATCATTGTGATCTGTCACTGATACTTTAAATGAACAGGGTGTGAGAGGGATAATACCATAGCCTTTAAATATCCCACACATTTCCCATTTGACCTACTTGTGTCTCACCGTTCCCCATGGCCTTCATTTCCGTAACCGTGACCTTCCATCCGTGACCGTTAACTACCGGTGGCGGACCGTGATCCCTCCTATCGTGGTTCCGTGATCCCTCGTGCAGAAGTTCCGTGAGTTTCCTGCCTTGGTTCCGTGAAGGCGACATGACGGTCGTGTTCGGTCGCCCCACTGAGCCTTCCGACCCGTGTTTTGACAGCCGGTTAGCTGGGGGCCGCTAATCGCGCCTCCATCTGACCGTTTTTGTCGACCGCAGTGTGTTGGCTCCGCTGCGTTCGGACCTCGGACCTTCTACCGCTCCTCGCTTGCCATCTCGTCTGATGAGGTATGTCTCTCCACCCACAGATGGTCACCCGAACAAAGAAGATTTTCGTGGGAGGACTGTCGGCGCCCAGCACGCTGGAAGACGTCAAGAATTACTTTGAGCAGTTCGGCAGGGTGAGTACGGTTCGGTCGTGACCGGTTTTTGTAGCCGGCTGTCGGCCGTTTTTGTTTGGCGCTCACCGCAAATGACGTCTTCCGGGGCTTATCGTTTGATTGGATGTTCATGTTTGTGTCATTTTCCGATAGAATGGTACGGCGATAACCGATCCCATTTGACGATAGCTAAATGGCCTGCGTGGATGACATGAAGATAGCTTGTTTTTGCTGTTGAGCAAGTTCAGACTTTTTCGATTGGCCTTTTCTGTTAGAAGAATAACGAACGGATACAGGATTACGAGTTGGTTGTTACTTACATGACGAATATTACCGATATTTAGGAGTGAGTAGATATATGGCCTAAAACGCCCCTTTATTGGGCATCGGTAGGCTCCACGTCAAAGTCTATATAATTAAGCCAGAACCATACTCAGCGAAAACAAATTGGTTGTTATTATGATAGATAGTGCGGTTTGGGGAAAGTTGGCTAAAATTGACAGAACGTCTCGGACGCAATGAAGCGCAAGAGGTTAATGATTTTCCCTGGAACGGGCAGCCATCTATCATGTTTCATGTTAGCTGGCATACACATCTTCATTGACATGAAAATCTCATATTGATCGTGTGCCTTGCAGCGGCCTCAAACATGCAACGGTGTCACAGAAGCGTATGGGTCGCTCAATAACTCTAATGGCCCGTTGGGACTTTGGCATGCAATTTCACTCTCATAGTTTGCGTAGCGGGTTAATCTATGTGGGCTGCTCTTTGTAGGTATAATGGCGACCTATTTCCTATGGAATCGATTTTAGAAGGATCCTGAGTAGGACACTTGCGGTCGGCGATAGCTTTAAATTGCAACGTGCCACTTTTTGCGAAAAAGACACTTAACGATAAATGAATTAAATGTTCAGTTTAGTCGGCCTTGTTGCAGTTTCTTCAATGGTTGAAGCTGGCGCAATGCCTGAAAATGTTCCCAGTTGCGTTCAAGCATAGATATCGCTGATGGAAGAATCCTAGCAATAGCAGGTGGCTAGCAATCAAACAATTTGATCTAAAATATCCAGACTGTTCGGTTTCTACTGCCAACCAACGAGCAGAGCCCGAGATAGATTTCAACACTGGTTGCGAACGCTGTTGGTCTAAATACAAGCTGAAGCAAGCGCTTGCTTTTTGTCTCAAAGAGGCTTTCTGGTTCCGTGTCCTTTAGGGTCCAAGCAGGCGTGACTCACAGCCAGTTCAGCCTGCTCTTTGACGTGGCTCGGCCAGTTTTCCTCTCTATGGCATTCAACATATTTAATTTCCTTTTATTTTCCTGCTTCCTCTTTGGCCGGGCTTATCTCGGCTGGGTGCAGCGAACGGGGCCGGTATCGCAGATAACTAGACTGGACCCGCATATCTATGAAGACACCGCGGCCAATCGCTGCGTTTGCATAGAGCACTATCCCAGGAGTGGCCTCCCTGGATATATTGGGGGCGACGGTCCCCGCCCTGGACCGAAGAGATAGCTCAATATCGCAGTGTTATGTTTGAAAGCAATTTCCATTTGTCAAGAAATGTGCCAGACAGAAATGAAGGAATGACGGAATTCAATGGATGGCTGCGTTGCGCTTCTGGAAATACTTTGAGTAACATGGCCAGAAATCACCCTTGACATTTACCAGCGTATATATGATTGCTAATCTGTGTACTATCGTATGCGGACTATACTATCGCATGGTTAGATATGTCATTCCTAAAGTTATTTCTGTGTTTTCAGATAGAGGATGCCATGCTGATGTTCGACAAACAGACCAACAGACATCGAGGTAAGAGATGCATGACAATGTTTCATCATATTTCGTCTTTTCTTTTATAAATCAAGGCAATGACACGGCCATGCATTTTCGTTCATTTGATTTACGAGTCAAATTTAACTGGTCACAAAAGACACATGCGCTCTTGAGCAACGTCTGGCTCCTCCGCCTCTTAATATGGCTAACTTTTAACAATACGGTATTCGGATGGGCCAATTTCGTCAAAGAGCGCGCGGTGCCACCGAGGAAGTGATGCGCAGCGGACCGGCCGACCGCCATCGGACCGACCAGACTCGTTAATTAGATGCACTGGTGCCGAGTTTTATGGGTTGATACTGGGCCGTCCAGTGCCGGTCTGGACCCACCTGAGTTTGCTACTCGTCTAAGGACGTCTGAAGGACCGGCCCGGTCCAAAGTGCGCCCCTGGTTCCGTGGAAGAACGCCGGCCCTCGCCGCGGGAGGGGAATTGCACCGGGCGGCTGCTTTATAGCGGTTTTGATGAGCTTCGCTCTTTCCAATTCCTGGTACGGTTCGATCTAAATTTGACCGAATCTAATACCGACTGGACGCCGGCGATAAACGAGAATAGGTGTTTGAAAGACCATTTCCTTCGAGGAGAGTTGGCATTCAATTTTCAGCGCCGACCATTTTCAGCTCAATATTGTATCGGCTCTAAACCGCGTGTGGAAGTCGTGCCAATCGAACCACCCACAAAAATAAGCAAACTCTCCAGGATAAAATCTCTAAGAAGTTTGAACCGGTTCTTTTCAAAAGCGGAACAACTTGTGGTAATAATCCTCTGTAATCTTGTTCTGGAGACGCGAGATAAATAATTGAACTTTTCTCTTATAAACATGGTGACACTAATGAAAAAAGGTAAGGGATACACGAATTTTTAGCTGGATTGTTTGCTTTTTTATTATCTGTTCGTAAGCAATCGATGAATCAGGTGTCTTCAGGAAAGTTCATATAAATATTCTATTTGTTGATTCCCATTAGCGTTATTTTCCGCTCGAGGCAGCCGGCTACAGGCCGCGGCCGGAGCCTCCCAGCGCGGCGGCGTCTGCCTGTACTGGTATGCTGTGCCGCATCACACGAGACTGCACCGGCCGGGAGACACAGGGCCCTAACACCACGCGGCGCGGCCGCCGCGGTCCGCCAGCCGACATCAGGAGCCCCGCCCAGCGATTGTTGCTAATTTTCCGCCTGTGTTTACGTTCGAAAGCGCTTCCATTTGCCATGGTGCGGGTCGCGGAGCGCGTGGGACAGGCGGCGTTAGTTCGCCGGTCGTCCCCCGCACCCGGGTATTTTCTCAGCAAACAGCCCTGGCGCCGGTTCGACTTTACTCGGCCGTCCGACGGACTGACGGTGGCGACGGAGGTGTGCGATTGGAGAGTGACTGGACGCAGGAGAGACGGAGAGGTGTGAGCACAACAGTCGAGCGGTGCAGTTAGAACAACTTCCTCACCGCGCTGACAAGTTCACATTTCGGTATGACCGGTCTGGCCCATCTCACGGCGCCGAACACCAGGACAAACATCTCACTGCGCCGGGGCAAACAGCTAACGGAGAAGACAGTGAGAGCAGTAAGCGGAGTGTCGAACCGTGCCGAAAGCACGGCACCCAGCCTGTCACTTCCCCTCCCTAGTGAGCCGATCGTGCTGACAAACGACGGTCCGATTCGAACACAAATAAACCGACAATGCTCTCTACTGTTGTCACTGCGGTTTCGCGCGTCTCCCGACCAACAGAGACGAATGGACTCGTGTCGCTGGGGCGTCGAGAACGCCCGGAATCCGCCACGAAAGGTGACGCCGGCACGTGTCATCGCTAAGGGCCTGTGCTCGAGCCATTTTGCCACGGAACTCGCGATACCCCGGGCGCAGTCCAGGGATCTGAGGCGAGCGATACTCCGCCGCGTAGAACTGCCTCGTATTTACGCCCGCCTCGAATTCGCGTCCGTCTTGAATTTGCGTCGTCTCGAGGAGGATAATCGAACGCGACGCTGATAAATGAGGGCGTGTAATTAAGACGGCGCTAAATTTATTGCCAGGCACTGTGTATATTGAGCGTTCCTTTGAAGCTTGCTGTGCTGTTTGTTTTCAAACGCCATTGTTTTGTCGGAATTGGAAGCGCAAATTGACAATAACGATTCATCGATGCATGGCACACTGTCAAATGGTCCATTCGGGCTCGTGGCTTGGCAGACAATGCACGTCTTAAATTCCATTCATTGCGTCTGTTTTTCCGAGATGAAGAAAAACCGTGCCATTATATCCGTTCGGGCCAAAGATCTGGCGACTGCCGACTCCGAACGATGTCGCGAATGCAGCGGCTAATTGGGTTGGTCGGCAGCGGAACTGTGCAAAAAAGAGACAGTATTGGGATGCGGGGCGCGCTTCAGTGCCATCAGGGCGTGGCGGACGATCGTGGCGCAGGAGGCGATGGCGGCGCGGCGGCATTGTCGCCGTCACGTCTCGTCAACTGGGGCGGTTACGGCGCAGCGGCCGGCGATTCCTGGCGCGTCTGCCGGGCCAGGTTGGGTCTGCGGATCATCTGCTGCGGCAGGTCAGGGGTGGAGGTGTCGGGACAATGTCAGACCCGGGGACGCACAGAAGACACTCCGGCGCACGGATTTAGCACAAACGCTAAATCCGCTAAATTTAGCACAACGCTAAATTTAGTAACTAAATCTCACGTGGATTTAGCCCAAACGCACGTATAGTAGCTAAATCTAACGTGGATTTAGCCCAAACGCACGGAGTTCAACCTGACGTCGCCAGTAGCAAGTTCGGGGTAGATGTTTTAATTCACATCGCATGTATCTGCAATCGCTGCCGACACTCGTTGCAGTGAGGTCCACTGCTGGCCGGTAGCGGTGGCGTATTTTGGGCGGACCACCTCGAGCGAGACGTTTTAATTGCTTGTTTGTGTAGTGGGCTCGATATGATCGAACAGGGATGGTGCCCTCACGAATCTCAGCAATATGATGGTAACCGTCGTATACAAAACGTATACGAAAGCCGCAATCGTCTCATGTTTTGGGTGCGATGCCCTTACACCTTTTTTTTGTCCAAGCACATTTAAAATTCCGAGGCAAACATTAAGAAAAACAACACCAAGCGTGTTCTATGTCTGTAGCTCTTTAATCGTCATCGACAAAACATCAAGTTAGAACGTTTAACGTCAAGGAAAGCAAACATTCGTGGGCTTAAACGTTTCTCTACAAAGGTATCATTTTGTGGCATATTATAGCCTGAATATGCTAGCTCTGATTACATGGTAGCTTCTGAAGCAGATTGTTTGCAGGATAACTAGGCACGAACTCGTGGTTATGTGTGAAACCGCCAGTAATTACATGAAGTATTGTGTATAATCACCTTTCCACTTCCTAAGTGACTTCCAAATTACGTTGGCGTAAGGAGGTATATTTCCATGAACCACATAAAACTGTGTCTGGAGAAGGGCGACTCAAATGCATGTTATTCCAACGTGGCATTTTAGAGTCAAAAACAGTAGGCCACGGAGGGCCGCACGAGATGCAGGAGGAAATGTAGTCGAATTTACCATTTATCCGACGACCACAAAACATTCAACGAAATCGTCTACTTTGTGACGTACTTCACCACATCACACGTTCTGATAAAGCCTTCCATTTTCACCATGAATCACAATCTAAAATCGAAATACGAGTACGTCGTGCCGCAATGCGTTCCAAACCCCGGCTCTTCTTCACACTCCTCGCCAGTACCCGCGTCGCGCTCTCGCCCGGCATCTCAGGAACTCGGCAGAGGGAGGGCCCGGGGTCGACTCCACCCCCCCCCCCTCCTCCGATCACCGGAAATCCGTGCCGGCGGCTCGCTGATTGATGTCGCTCTGTGCCCCCCCCCCCCCGACCCCCCCCCCCCCCGCCGGAATGGGACTCAGGCTAATGGAGTCTCAGGACACGTCAGAGACCGACCCGTTGACGTCAGAGCTTGTACGAGCGGTCGGATGTCTGAAGAGTCGGATGATATATCCTACACAGCAGGCGCCCTTCTTATCCTCCGAATGATCTAAAATTGGGGCGCACTCAGGACGTTTTAGCATGTACGACGGGATATTTATCCAATACTCGTAGAACATCAACACCAATTTTAATTTTGATAACAACAACGTGAACATGAATTTCAATGTTAAATTCATGAAAAATACGGTTTGCAGACAACCATGAATGTCTTCCAGCATATCCTAATGTTATTCTGTTGTGCGTATTGTATGGGCTAATGCCAGTTCAACGTTTCATCGTTCAACGTTTCCTGCCGTATCCTTCACAACTACCATTCCAACTCCCACCCTCCCAGCTCTTAGCACGTGCCGCGGCGCGGCGCAGAGACACTCGCGGCGCATCTGCGGCGCCCCACGGCCGCGCCACCGCAGACATTGCCGTCGCGACCATCATTTAATTCGGTCGCCGCGCTCGGTCAATTTGGCTCGAATCTGGCGACGACACTTCGCTGAACTATTTGCACTGAACAATCGTGCCGCGGCCAGCCCGTCGGTGCGGAATGGATCCATATGTGCCCGAGTCAGTCGCCGGCCATGACAATAAACGCAGCGGGCCGCTCGGCGCCGCCGCCGCCGCCGCCCGCTCGTCGTTACAACGTCGTCGGGCCGAGATTTACATGTTTCTGTGAGTGCCCATCTGTCGCAGGCCGACGCTGCCTGTGCGTCAGATTTGTCGCAGGCGTGCTGCGTTTGTCGCTGGTGCGCTGCGCAGAAACTGACGCCGCTCGTCTCTCTATGTTTGCAGGATTTGGATTTGTCACATTCGAGAATGAGGATGTTGTCGACAAAGTGTGCGAGATTCATTTCCACGAGATCAATAATAAGATGGTGAGTACCCGGGCCCAGACGCTGATCACCTGATCTAACAACACAATACGCAATACACATGTGTGCGAGACAATGGTCATGCAAGCCATCGCATGCTAGGAAGAGATGCTAAGTGCTCTTGATGTGCACTCCAATGTAAATGTTGACAAATTACATTTTAGATTGAGAACCTTACATTTTTGCGGTAGCTTTGGTCTAAAAACAGGGCAGCAGCTCCCACCTACCGATAAAGTCTGACAGGAAAATTAAAAAAAAGAACAAATACAATGCACTTTGCACGTCAGCAAAACTCGTCGGCACCACCCGCTTCCAGCTACATCAAAGTGCTGGCTCATAAATTGTTTCATTTTGATATTTTTGCCGAGCGGCCGCTGATCAAGACCCCGATTGCCGTGCCTCGGAGGATTTACAGAGCGTTTTATGTCCTAACCGAATTCGGCGAACCGCTCAACTGCTTAGTTGTTCCAGCCTGCAGCTCACAGCGAACTTCTCCCAGTAAAACTGCTGTTTGAAATCAGCCGATGGGGCGATGTGTCGAGCCATTTGTTCCGTCATCAAAAGCTTACCAGCCACTCTGCGCTTCTGGTGGCGCTCACCGGCGGCCGTCCCGTGCAGACGGGAGAAGCGGCCGCCCGGGGACGACAAAAATGAACAGCCCGAGCGACAGAGTCGGCCCGAGATGCCGGAAAAGTAGCAGATCATAGTTGCGATGGTGTCAGAAAGCGCGACATCCCGCTTCATTGGCGATCAATGCAGCGACGAATGTCGTCTATGCAATGTAACAATTATTCAAAATAAAAGCATTGATACACCCAATCATTGAGTTTGGAATATGCCAACACTTTCTGAGCCTGACTGGCAATCAGCTGGGCGAATGGGCCGGCCAAACGCCGATATTTTCAGCCCGGTCCCATCGGTTCCGTCGCGGCCCGGCACGGTTGGGGAGGCAGCTCCTCGGACCCAGCCGACTCTGTCTGTTCATTCTGCTGACACCAGCTCGGGCCGGCGAATAAATTCAGCATCGTGGGCCGGCGGATCAACTCGAGAATGGATCGGATCGCCGCAGAGCCGCTCGCCATCCAAAATAGTTTGCCGCCAGATTTATGCGCGGGCTGTGTTTGCGAATCGGCACGAACGGTCTCCCCGGCTCGCCTCGGAGCCGATCGGACAGCGCGGGTCGGGGGGTCAAACGGAGACGACCCGATCGCAGAACTTGGACCTCAGTGCCATTCCAAAGCTCAGCGACGCAACTTTTACTATAGAATGCATAACTTTGGCCATGTGTCAAGCACAGTCATGATTTCCAATGCATCTCATGGGCTGAGTTTGACGCAGTGAAAAAGGATATTCATGAAATTATTTGCATATCCGGCTTGATCACATGCGGTACTGTCACGCATGGGCGGCGCCACCGGGGGGGACGGGGGGGACAGGTCCCCCGCTATCGAAAGTTAGGGGGGTACAGTACCCCCCTATCGGCGAGGCCCGTTCAATAGTTGATAATAATGCATTGTAAAGTTATCCGTCGCATTTAATGCATCGTTCGTTAATCAAGGCAGGTTCTGAATAAAGATTGCTGTTGGGATGTATCGCAGGGGGTCCTGGCCATCTGCAAAAGGTGTGGAGCTGTGATGCCTATAAGGTGATCGGCAGGGCCTCGGGGATCGTGCCCCCCTTTTTTTGGGGCGCCAGGCAGGGTTATTACCTCCCCACCCCACTGCCAGACCCCACTGCCGACAAAACCAAGTTAACTGAAATTCCATAGATTTCCGTTACTATATGGATATTTTCCATTCCTAATTAGTCAAGTTCAAGCATGGCAGTTCTACCACAGGAACCATTTGAAATCTATGCCATTTAACCCCAGCACTTGTGGGGAGAAGTGTTCGGATAGATCACAGGCTGGACCAAAAAAGCACGCAGTAGCCCAAGACCTTATAATTGGGTAGCATCGGCTCCCTCTCGTCAAGGGGTTCGATAGCACTCGTTTTTTTTTTTCTGCAAAACTAAGTTCGGTCGGCGGCCGAACGGCTGGGGGTCTAATCGAGCCCCCCCCCCTCCCCTTCTTACGTCAGCGGCTGTGAAAATGCCATTACCAGCTGTTGAAACATGGCAGTTGCTTTTGCATGAGTGCACGAAAGTGTTTCAGGTACGTGATACGTGAAAGGTTCTACAAGGAAACTGAGATACACCAGCTTATCAAATTGTGCTCACTGTGGTGCGCTCGGTTTTACCTTGACTAGTCTTTGAATTCTGGGGTGAAACAGACCAGTCAAGAAACCTGTTCCATAAGGAGAGCCACTAATGCTAAAGAGATGAGGAATGAGGTTTCCAGAGACCTTCATTACCTCCCAAAGGGGGTGCCCCGCCATTTGCCAATCCCCATGCTGTGTTGTTACGATTGGAGGGTGAATATGAGAACGATGCAGGTCGTGCCAGCTCGATCATGACGAACACAATGGTGCCGACATCACAACTCTACTGCCATTTTTGACGAAGTTAATCAACTAGGACCGGAATCCTACCCTGGGGCATTTCACCTGCAGAGGCCGCCGGACCTGAGACCCTTTCACTCAATTTTTTTTTTTTAAAGGTGCATGCGGCATGCGCTCGTTTTTCCCGCGAAGCTCTTGGTGAGTAAAATCCATCAGAAAGTGTGATCAAATAACGGCTGGTGACCTTCCATGACCTAGCATGACCTTTTGAGTGACCACCAATGACATGACCACTGACGGCTAGCCATTATAGCTGCACCCTGCCCGTTGCATATGGATCAGGTGGTGATGTCATGATTCTGAAATTATATTGCAGTTTTGGCGCACTTGTCAGAGCAGAAGACATTCCCACTTTTCCTCCATGACTATATATATATGATGGTGAAGCCATGAAGCTGACCAGACGTAAGATCGAAAATTTGAAAGTACGAAACGTAAGAATAGTTGGCACAGCTACTCGACACTGACCGACCGGTCGCGAGCTTCCCGCCTCCGGATTTCCAGCCGGACACCCAATCCACTCGGCCACGCGGCCAGTATCCCTAAGCAATTCGCAGCTTGTAGGAAACCAGCTTTGAGTTGGAAAGACTGCAAATTTTGATTTAGAGGCAAGGATGCTTGAAAAGGTGATCGATCTTAGGTGTCCTAGGATAAGTTTGGAAACGGGATGCAACATTCGATGTGTTTTGGGCTTTGCCAAGTTTCGCGGCGTTACGTGCCTCGTTTTTTTTTTGCATACACGATCAGTATCTACTTTTGGGATTTTCGGACAGCTACAGTCCCCGTCCCCCCCTATCGAAAACCCGTGGCGCCGCCCCTGCAGTGTCACGTAGAAAATAGCCACCACTTCTCTTACATCTCAATCACCCCATGCTGTGTTGGGTGGTCTGTATCTCAGGTCGACAGCCCTTCCTGTGCGCGGCGAGGCCGATGCCCCCTGTCATGGAGCCCTGGACGCGGCCGGCGGCGGGTGACACCGTTGACCCCGCCCTCCGTTCTCCGCTTCCCGCTCTGCTGCAGGTCGAGTGTAAGAAGGCGCAGCCCAAGGAGGTGATGCTGCCGCAGACGCTGGCGCGCGGCCGAGCGGCGGCTCGCGGCGGCTACGGTGAGTTGGTGCTCGTCTCGCCGGGACTCCCCTCGCTCGCCGCGTACCGCTACAGCCCCTACTCCGTGCCCAGCTCCGTGGCCGCCTGCGTGGCCAGCGCGCCGCCCACGGCGCTGCCCAGCGCGCCCCTGCTCGGCGCACACTCGCTGGGTCAGGTCGGCCTGGCCGGCGCGCCCCTGCACGGCTTCGACCTGGCCAGCTGCAAGAAACTGTTCGCCGGCGGCCTGTCGGCGGCGGCGGCGCCGGGTGCGATGACGCAGCACGCGCTGCCCACCCTGGCCGGTCTCGGCGGGCTGGAGCAGTACTACCAGATCCCGGTGGGCCTGTAGACTGGCCCCCCGGCCCGGGGACGTGCCCCGGTGGCTCCGAGCCGTGCGCCCGAGAGCGTGCCGTGTATGATACTCGCTGCGACCGCCGCGCGGCGCAGTCCGAACGCCCAGCAATAACGGCAGTAATAATGAACAAAGACGTGCATGTTTTCGTGCTGTTGTATATCTGTGTTATACGACACTAGCTTGAATCTCGTTATTTGAAGTGTTTCACCCTTACCTGTGAGGCTATTTTGCGCTGCGCCCCGGAGGGTGTCACTGGAATGCAGGGCCGGACGAATTGACGTTCGTAGGAGAGCCTTTCTCTCTGTGAATAGAGTCTCTCTATCTCTCTCTCTGTCGGTTTACGCTGTTGGCCACTATCACCATGCAGCAAACGCTTTTAAAAATTATTTGTTTCATTCATAATGTTGCTCCCCTAAAGTTATGTCGGTTGTAATTTGGAAAACGGCAAGATTCTGGTGGATTTAGTTATAATTAGTTTATATAGTCGAAACTAAAATGCCATTGGACACTAAAATGTCCCATGAATTTTGTACACGAAAATAGTTTAGCCATCTTAGCTCACTAGCCCGGTGAAAATTAGCCACGGGTTAGTCATATAGCTTAGCGCCAAAGGGTGCCTCATGATTCCAATTTTATACACAATTATTTTGGTAAAAGTAGCAAGCGATATTGCTGACACTAACTCACTCTCGGTGCCCATGTCTATCTGTCTTTTCACAATCGCCTTGAGCTCCGCCTACGCCCAGCTTTGTGCCGGTGTCACAGGCATCCGCGCACTGCCGGCTGACGGATGGACTTTGGCGAGGTCTAGCGAGCTTTAACGACATCTAGCTGAATTTCGGAGTCGGCTGCCGGCCACCAGTGTCTTCCAAATTAGTATTGAGAAGCAATAGTACAAACCGCTGAGTTTTCTATCCTGTGGTTTGTGGGTTAGACCATCAACCCGTGCGTCATATGGGAATGAGCCGACGGCCAGTCCAGCGGCCTCGGTGGCGCGTCTCTCACACCAGCCGAGAGTCGGACAGTCACACCTGTACCCTTCTCGAGTCTAAGTGGGCTGCTGTTTGCAGGGGTAATTCCATTTAAATGCTCAAGAGGGTTAGTTTCTTTTTGTGAGGTCCGACCACAATCCGTTTTAGTGAGTTCCCAGCAATTCTCTATAATTTCTCAAACCTAACTAGTAAGCCGCTGCTGTTGGGCTGGCTGAAATCCTTTCATTGCGTACGAGTACTTAAGTTGTTGATTTAGTACGTACATTGCCTGTATTTGTACTTAAGTGCAGCAGTAAAGACGCCGAGTTACCGTATATATTTTAGAGGGGACACAGTGTGGTGGCCCCAGAGACTGAGCGCGAGTGACTGAAGGACCGAGCGCGTGACTGAGTCAGGAGGGACGGAGCGCGCGCGATACTGATGTTGTCCGCGTTCGTCGCATCGTCGCTGTGTTCTCGTTAGCGGTTGACCGCGGGGGGCTGAGTGAGGGACGGGAGGGTGTGTGGGTGTGCCTGTGTTACCTGCCGTTGTATGTATGTCTGTGTGCGGCGGGGAGACTGGGCCCGACATTGAGCACCGGCCGGAGGCGCCGGTTTCGTCTGAGCTCTCAGTTTCTCTCTTTCTCTATCTCATCTATCTCTCCTCTGTGAGTGTGTCTGTGTGTGCGACCTCACGGCCTCGTCTTCTGTCTGTTCTGTGGGGCTCGCGGTAGCATAACGTCTCGTTGGGTCGCCCTCCCGGTGACCACAGCTCGGAGAGAGGTGCCGGCGGACGCGCTCGCCCCGCCGGGGCCCCCAGTCTCCCCGCCGCCCCGCCCGCCATCGGGCCGCCCCCACCCGGGTCAACTTTTGCTTTGTGCCAAGGCCCCCTTTTCGTCTGAATCAGTGTCATTAGCTTTGTATTTAACCTCTTTCACTCAATAAATGCGTCGAACGATTATTTTCTGTCCATTTTCTAATCTGCCCAGCGATACGGCTAATCAGTAGTTGGTAGTGAGTAGTAGACGTAGTGCAGTAGACGTAGATCGTAGTGAACCGGGCTCTTAATCATTGTATGCACACCTGTCAGAGCGATTAAACTCTGCGCCTGTCTCAGGTCTGGAGGGAGGGCCCTGATTGGCTGACTCAGATCTAAAGCTGATGTTCATTGGCTGGAGGGCGGCATGGCAAACTTGGCACGAGCTCCCAGTGACCTCACACCTTCCTTGGCCTCATATTCGTGGCGGCTGATTTCTTGTGAGTTGCCTTGGACGCAGCCCTGTGGTCTGGCTAGGCGGGTCGGGCGGGGGCAGACTCGACCGTCCCCGCAGCTCCTCGCTCGCTCATTGTGTTTTCCCATTCAGTTGGCTGCACAGCATAGCTGTTAGTCCAGTATCGGCACCCATAGCTAGTGGGTAGATCGTAAGATCCCAGTGCCCATACGGCGCACCAAATTCAGTCAGGAAATTCTGTACAGTCCGGCCTTCGGGCGGCCTTCTTTGACCCCGTTGGCCTGGGAAGCAATGCCACCAGCCCCTTCTCCCTACCACGCCCTGTCCGCCCGCCGGCCAGAACCCACGGGCTAGTCCGTCACCTTCTCACCCTCTCTCACTCTCTGCCCGTCCGGCTCCGTGCCGCGTCCTCCCTCTGTCTCTCTCGTTGTCCTCGAGTTCCCCCTCCTCGTGTGGTCACTGGGGGTGCGACACAACGGTACGTACCTATCCATCGTTTCGCCGCGGAGTAGTGCCGCCACGCGCTGACTGCTGGTCTGAAGGGGGTGACGCCCCGCCCCGCCCCCCGCGCCTCTCAGCCGCCCCCCTCTGACCTTTGACCTCGCTCACCAATCGCGGCAGGTCACCGCCTGTCCAGTCGGCTCAAATCGAGCGACTCAATCACGGCGCACAGCCGGGCGCTCCCGACTTAAACAGAGCAGCACTCAGTGGTAGCGCTTGTAGAGTAGCTCCTAAACAGTGATAAAGTCACTTGTTTTTCAGTAGTCTAGCTTCATTGTTTCACTACACGCGTCGTGCGTTAATGCTTCTCTGTGGACACCTTTTCACATGCATGGCTGCCGGGACACTCCGCTTCTGGGACCTCCCTCGGTGCCTTCTTTAAACGGGCTTCTGTTTCTGGGCTTTGGGCTTTCTTTCTTCTGGGTTCTAACATTAACATCCAACAAAAGCCGTGAAATTTCTGTAACTATTTTCCCTAGCTGCAACGTAACCGATTCCGAATTCAATACCATGCTGTGTCATGATGAACCGCCTCGCTGAAGGCAACCTTACAAAATTTCATATAAAAAGTTAAACTGCCTCACAAAATTTTGTCTCAACAATCTGTGTCCCCACGAGTTGCCGCAGTGGAACAATACGTTAGCACAGGCTGCTTAGCGCGTCTGAGCCGGGTTCGCTTGGCCCACTAGTGAACAGGTGCTCAGCTAAGGGGGACGGACTAGTCTATAGACGCTATTAGTCCACTGCTGGCAACCCTGTGAATATGCTCGCTTCTCGTTTGTTTGATTTGCGGACGACCCAGCGTCAGAGGCATCGCATATAATCGCTTAGGCGTTGTCAGTATAAGTCAAAAGATGATCTGACAGAAGTATCATTTTGATGACGTCATTCATTCTGACGCCGGGTCGCCCGCATTTGTTTGTCATGTTTGCTGACCTGCCATGACCTGACCTGACCTGGCCGGGGCGTGTTACAGGCTTCCCAGCGGCAGCAGCCTACGCCGCCTACGCCGGCCGCGGCTACTCTGGCTACGCCGGCTTCGGTTTCCCGTACGCAGGTAATATTCCGGCCCAGATGGTGCCCTACCTCCCCGAGCTGGGCCTGTACGGGCTGCACGCGTTGCCGTTGTGAGGCCGTCGCCGCCGGTCCGGCCGGCGCCGCGCGGCTGCCGCCGCCGTCACCGCCGCCGCCGCATGTGCTGTGGCCGGCGGGCTCCCAGCGGCCGGCAGAAGCACCCACCGCCGCCGCCGCTGCCGCCGCGGCGCCCGTGTCCCTGTACGTGTGGCGGTCAGCGCCGGGGGACCAGTGAGGGTTCTGGAGGACCCTGGGGGTCGGTCGGGGTCGGGGTCGGGCCCACTGACCACTGCGCCGGCTGCGGTCGGCTGGGCGGCGGCCAGCTGGCGTCACTAGTCTCGGCGGTCGGCCCGAGCGCTCGGCGACGAGTTATGACGCCGCTATCGTCGTGTCAAAGCGGCGGCGGCTGCCACTGATGGCCACGTCGGCCCCGTTGGACGCAGGCCAGACCGGCGCGCAGACGGTTCGGCCGGGACCGGGCCGCGGTTACTATCTCAGGTACACTTGTCCATAGGCGGGCGGGCCGCCCCCAGCGGCACGCAAAATGAACGGAGGCAGAGCGCCGCCCGTCTCTCGCTAGCCACGTCATCTTGGTCCTCGGTTATCGGTGTTAGTTGTGGCTACAGTGGCCAGTTGGGAGTGACGCGTAGGTAGTCCATTTGAATCCCATCTCTAATCCGGTAGTTGTCCAGTCTTTTACTTTTGTCGATCCGGTTGTTATAGGTGTTCTAGTGATAGCTGGGCTTCTGCCTTTAGGGATAGGTTAAGGTTTACAGTAAGTGAGTATCGGGAGATGAATCGAGGCTTGACTTCATTTTGTTAGCTGTAAGGTCCCCGGTAATATTTTCCTCAGCGCTCGATTTAAGTGATTTTTCCTCGCCTCTTCTCGGACAAAGTAATGGCCATAATTCCATTTGATGCGTTGTAACGTGAAGCGAACAGTGATAGATTCGAAAGTCCACATCTACCAACAATATTACAAATGTTATTATGCATAAAGATACCTTATTATTTGTTGACGTTATTACACTATCGTACAGCAGGATTCTATTGTAAACCATTCGATTCAGATATAACTTCAATACGTGGGTGGGTCGGCTTGTCGCTTCAGATTCAGCCATCACTTTCATGTCCTTGCATATCATATCATGCTGTCAAAGATCCCACACAAATATCTGTCACGATGCTTTGACTTCGCCAATGTTTGTTCACTGTTATCGCTTGCGTTGTTTGCCTGCTGGGTGGATTTAACAAGCTCGTCGCAATGATCACCTTTTCCGACCACCTCTTTGCAGAGGACAGAGTTTTGATATCGAGCCGTGCAGCGTTTCACGGACGCTCCATACCGCCCCAGTTTCTATTGTAACACCAGTGTTACTTATTACACATATATGAAGCGTTTTACCGATGTGCAATATCGCGTTTCGCTGTTACACTCTTGATGTGCTGCGTGTTTTCGCTGTGCTCCGCGCCGGAGCGCGTGGGTTCCGTCTTGTTTGTGTGCTCCGGCCGATTGTGTGCTCCGCGGAGCCTTCGTGTCGTGTGTGCATGTGTTCTTCAATGTGCTCTCTCTGTGCCGGGCGGTCGACCGCACGTCGGGGATCGAGGCTGGTATCCCGCCAGTCTGCGGGGTGCGCCTCCCGGCCAATACACTAACGACAGCCACATATCATAGTTATCGGCCCGCAAACTGATGCGTGCGTAGACAACTTAGCATTGCTCAAGGAAAAAGAAACAAAAATGATGTCCAGGCTAGTGTTCCATTGATATAACTACCAGTTCCCTTGCTTCTTACCCAATCGTTCATATCCGAATTGCAAACAAACTTTTTCCTGCTATCTCAGCTTAGTAAATTGTGACGGAATCAGTACAAGGTGCTGTCGATGGTAAAGGCCGATTTTTTTTTTTAATCAGCACATTATTATTCGATAGTCTGCGTTCTACCGGTGACTTCGCCTATCGGTCTGAGCGGTATGGCGGCTGCGGGCGGGTTCTGACTGATAGGGTGCGAAAATTCGGCGCTAGAGGTGGCGGCGGCGGTGGCAGCGGCGGCGGGGGCGGCTGGGGCTGCAGCGCACTGAATGGTGTATGAACGTGTTCCGCCATAAGACTGGCACACAGCTAGATCCTATTGGCTGCGCCGGCTGGGGCTCCTGCCGCCCCCGCCGCGGCGACGGCGGCCGTCCTGCCAGTAGTCTCCGCCGCCACCTCTAGTCGCCTAGTCGCCCTGTCGTTAGACCATCGCCCGTAGTCGCCAGTGTTCGGCCCAGCATGCGCAGTCACCGGAGAGCCCAAACTAGCAGTACCAAGTGCTCCTCCATCCTCCCACAACGACTCATCCAGTAAAGAGGGTAATGTCAGTGGAGCGGGCGAGGGATTAGTGCGGCCCGCGTGCCGCGACTCAACTCACTTCTCATTTGGCTCCGAGCCGACAAAGTGAGCCGCGCCCCGCGTCCACTGGCCAATCCTGGCGGCGATAAATTAGGTAAGGATAATGCCTAATGAGTGTGTAGCCTGACTATATATCTGCCGAATACATAGCAGTAGCCGTAGGGATTTAGGCGGATCTTCCGCGGCCGAGTCGGCCCCGTATTTACGACCGGGCTTTAGAGGTAAATGCGCCCGATGATATTAACACTAGATCTAGACGAGTGGACTTCTCGGCCGAATAGAGAGGCGAATATCCGTAGTTCTAGACGATATTCCTAGTCTGTATTGGAGCGGTGGCGATTGAGGAGTTGGCAACGCTCTCCGATATTGCGTCTGAAGTTAGTATCGCGTAGTCGGCGGCCGTCCGCTGGTAGGTGAGATGCTGTGAATTAGACGGTGTTCTAGCTAGACTCTAGGTGACTTCTCTCGAGTTAGCGATCTAGCGATCTATCTATTTAGTAATCTATCTAGTTCGTAATTAGTGTGTTCTTCCTACGGTCGTTCTCCTTTCTCTTGATGCGTGGGTATGTGAACTCTGTATTTTGATGTATGTTGAGGTCTTGACTATGAAAACCGGTGTGTTCCCTACGTTGACAGTGGAGGTTGTGTTTCCAAAGCCGATATGTCGACTTACCTGCACTGCAACGTTCTCCGCTTTTTCAAAGAAGCAAAATTCCCAAAGCATTTGCCTGGTTGGAGCACGACAGCACTCTGACCAGATC